TACAATAACCAGAAAAGAAATAACAAACATTTCTATTAATGTATTAATACTCTGCTTTATCAGCATAGCAAAGTTGATTAGTGGCTCACATGAAGCACAGATATGTCATCAGAACGAAAATTTGGAGCAGAAAAATAATCTACGTTCTGAAATTGAAAGCTCAATGTTTGGAAAACTGGAGATTAAAAAAATGATTCTTGTACTGGGAAAGGAAGGATTTTTCTTGTTAAATATTTCTTTGCACTGTTTCATCACACACAGCGATAATAATATCAAAAGCTTCTCAGATCCTATCTTTGTAGCCTTCTCCCATGGTATTAGGTATTGAACTGGAAGCCTTTTGCTTTTTTAACAGGCATTTCACCATTTAAACCATGACACCGACTCCATCTTCTACCTTTTGATTCCCAGAAGAGTCGTGATGAGCAAGGCAGCATGTTTCTGGGACTTTGTCAACTGTCTACACAATATTATGTTGATGATTACCTTCTAGATAACTTATGTTGTTTCAGGGTTTTAAAAATATTGGATGATGTCAGCAACTCAGTTCAGCCATTATTGATTCCTTAGTTCTTGGCCAGGCATCTGTAATCGAGGAAGCTTCCCATTTCACTGAACAAAAGATGCTCAGACATGTAGCTCCATGGAGGAATTAGAGTGGCAAGTGACCCAATAGCATCAGAGAAGAAGAAAGCTATCTGATAGATTTAAGGAAAGTAACCTAATTGAGGTTCAACACACAAGAGGTTTTTCTTTGTTGTTGTATTTTAGTGTACTATGTGATATTTTGTTTCTTTTGTTTCTTCCCCCTGTGGTATATCCCCTGTTGTCACTGTATTTGATTTTGGTACCCTGGTATTGTATATATGTTTATTTGAATTAGGGAAGGGAAGGGGAACAACAGAATGGTGAGACAAAGGACAAAGGGGGAACCAATGCAACAGTGATATACACAAGACAGTATGTTGGAAATGAGTTGTAAAACCTGGGGATAGGGGGGTAAAGGGGAAGGACAGTAGGAGAAAAATGAGGGAAGGGATAATAAGTTTGACAAGAAATGTACTTATTTCCTTACTTATATAACTGTAACCCCTCTGTCTATCACCTTGACAATAAAAAAATTAATAAAAAATGAAACTAACTAAAATGAGCAATAAAAAATGATTGTCAAGCAGCCAGGATAAAAGAAAGCAAATTCTAGAAATGTTTCTTTTATCTTACAAATTTTCAGGAAATTCATAGAGTTAAACTAGTCTTGCCAAAAAGCAAAGTATATTGGTAAGATGTGGGCTTGAGAGATAGCCAGAGAACCTGTCCTGAGACACTTGCATGACTTGATAAAGTGGTTCATATGATTCTTTTTTTTTTTTTTTTTTTTGGTATTCAGGTAAGGGATAGGTTTATTCAGTAGACCTGCTGGGACCAGGCAAGGTTGGCACTCCACACTGCTGGGAAAGGCCTAGGAAAGAGAGAGAGCTGGGAAAGAGAGAGAGGAAAGAGAGAGAAAAGAGCTTGAGAAGAGCTAGACAAGAGCAGAGAGAGGTAGCCGAGTAAGAACAGCAGCACACACGTGGTATTCAGGTAAGGGGTAGGTTTATTCAGTAGACCTGCTGGGATCAGGCAAGGTTGGCACTCCACGTGGCTGGGAAAGGCCTGGGAATGAGAAAGAGCTGGGAAAGAGAGGAAAGAGAGAGGAAAGAGCTAGAGCAGACAGAAAGCAGAGAGAGCTAGAAAAGAGCAGCGAGAGAGGGCCTCTAGGCCTGGGCTAGGCCTTATCTAGGGTATGGGCAGAGAAAGGTGTGGCCACATCAAATTCAGATGTGACCTCAGCGGATGCAGATGTGACCTCTTCCATGTGTCCCAGTTGCCTAGGTAACGCAGGTACTGGGTGGAGACTTTGCTGTGAGGAGGGTGGAGTCTGCTGGCCATCCAGGAGTGGACCTTACATTCCAGCCTTTTAATAATCATGAAATAGGGCGAGGATTCTCTCTGGCTACTTCCTGCTGACAAGGGGCTTCGACAATAGGGGTAAAAGCCTGGAATTTGGTCCCCTCCCAGAGAAGGCAGTGAGCAGCAGCTGTTCCTTGGTGGCATGAGTCCTTAGCTGAAGTCTGGAGAAGTCTCATGAGCATTGAGGGGCTGGAAAAAAAATACTAGAGAGCAAATAAATGGCAAGAGGAAGGACTTGGGGCTGAAAATGTTGGTAGAAACATCCCTAGCTACTTCTGACAGCTAGTGACTAGGTAGAGAAGTCAGGTGACAAAGGCAACAACATAAATTCCTGTTTAGTTAATAGGTAGACAGGTATGGACACTAGATGGGCAGGCTTCTTACTTCTACTGACCTCCCAGCTCTGGTTAATTTTGAAAGTGCAGGCACAAAGTAGCTGATGTGACATCTCCTCTTACTCCTCTCCATGTTTCCTTGTTCCCCAGACTGGCTGAGTCTAGGTGCTTGTTGCTGGGATGGCTTGTCCCAGTTGGTATTCAAGGAGGTTTGAACTCAAGGCCTGGGCACTGTCCCTGAGAACTTCTGCTCAAGGCTAGTGCTCTACCACTTGGAGTTACAGTACCACTTCCAGAGTTTGGCTGGTTAGAGATAAGAGTCTTGAGCCATGCTTCCAGCCTGGCTCTTGCAGGTTAGTTGGGAGATGGAGTCTTAGGGATTTTTCAGCCCGGGCTGGCTTTGAACTGAATTCTTTGCCACAAAAGCCCTTTACTATTTCGAATTAAAGCAACAAGGAGATCAAATAGAATAAGTAGAGCTTACCTGGTTCTTATCAAGAATTGCTAACAAATATTCTACAATAACAAAACTCATTAGATGTGATGAGAATTTTAGCATAGATATGCCCAGTATTTTAGAACCATTTAGTCAGTAGTAGAATACACAATACAAAACAAAAAAGGCAAAACTCAAAATCTAACAAAGCACATCAGATGGTTGGGCCTCAGTTACCAGGGCCTGTGAAAAGAGCAACTTGTTAGCAAGGCACCTTAGAATAGATGGATGGAGTAGTAAGCTTGGTGGAAGGTTAAGGGTCAGATGGGGCCAAACCCTTAACTCACCATGTAGGTAAGATGGCGAATTCAAGATGGCGAATTTCTGAAAGAATGCAAAGAAACCCTGAACAAATAGATCAAGCCTACATTGGCTAGCCTTTGAGAGGGAACCTAGAGGGGGGGTCCCTGGGACCCAGCCTGCGTCGCACTCTTCAGGGCACAAGCCAAAATGTAGAGAAGAAAGGGAGAGATAGGGAAAGTTGGATATGACTGGCAGAGAGAGAGAGAGCAAAGAGAGCCCGAAAGTAAACAGACTTCTGACCATTTACCATTGCAGTAGCAAAAACTGTCTACATCTGAGAATGGCATAAAAATGAGGCGCTCTGGCTTTTCAGGGAGCGCAGGAGACATTTCAAAGGGGTTTCATAGCTCAGGTGTGATTCACAGCACCCCATTAAATGAGTAGGAGAGTCAGTCTGGTGAATGAAGGAAAGCTGACCAGGCAGAAGTGGCGTCCCAACTTCCCAGAGCCCTCTAGAGAGAGCAACAGAGAACCGTAGAGAGTAGCTTCACTCACCAGAGTGGAGAAGTGGTGTGGACGAGGATGTGAAGGCCAGCAATGGTATCGATGCGCTGTGTCAGCAGCAGACAGATGGGTTCGCAAAAGGCCGTCAGAACTGTTGGTATTCCTCAGAGCAAAGAGGGAAAAACAAACAAAAAAAGAAAAAAGAGGGAAAAAAAAAGAGAAGAATCCCAGCTATCCTGACTTTAAGCCCTTTATCCGAGTCACGGCACCATTTATGTTAGGTTTTTAAAAAGAGGTAGCAGAGTAAGAACATGCATGTGGTGGTATTCAGGTAAGGGGTAGGTTTATTCATCATTCCGGCTGGCACCAGGCCATCTTGGTCCTCCACGCGGTGGGGAAAGGCCTGGGAAAGAGAGAGACCTGGGAAACAGAGAGAGAAAGAGAGAGAGCTAGAAAAGAGAAAAAAGCTAGAAAAGAAAAGAGCTAGAAAAGAGCAGCGAGAAATCATATGATTCTTCTAGTGAGGAGGCCTGGAGATAATTCTTTTGCTGACAAACCATCATCCTAAAGGCAGTGTGAGATCTAAAAGCAGTGAGACTAGTCAAGAGGACATTAAAGTATCCAGTTAAGAGATCAAAATCATCCCCTCTATCCCCCAAAAGGGGGTGTGAATAAAATGTGCTCAGCAGCTAAGTCCAGAATTCCCTTGGCTCATCAATGTCAATAATTAGGGATGTTCTACATATATGAACAACAGCAAACAGGCAAATGAGGGGATTAGATGATAAATTAGTCTCTTGTCAAACTTTCCTCACCTTTCTTAACACTCAACAGCACAAGTCTCTGCTTCTTACCTCTACACTCACTTTGTCTCCGAAGTTATTTTCCATTCTTTCTAGGCTTCAATAACTTCTCTTCGATTCATGTTTCTCTTATTTTTAAACACTCTTTTTCCTCCTCTGCTTGGAAGGCCTTAGCAATAAAGCATAATAAAATAATTTCATATCTTCCTTGGATTGAAAGCTTCAAGACTGATTATGGGTGTCTTCACTTTTTTTCAAAAACTGATTAAAATATCATAAACATGAGCAGCCCTGTAGCTATAACTTGATTCTTGCTTGATGACCTTGGATTATGGTCTGTAGAAGTTTGCTCTTAGATATCTTGTTGGGTTTAAGTTGACCAGAGAATGAGACTCACAAAATCAAGTAAGGATAGAAAATATTGTCTAGTTAATGGTGCTGGCATGAAAGAGAAGGAAAGAATAGCTAGTAACAGTGAAAGTCTATGTACAGTGTCTTTCCAAAGTCAAGGGAAAGTATGCATTTCTTGTTCTCTATAGATAATTTACAAACATTAATAAGAATAAATACAAAAAGGAAAGGCAGAGAAAAGAATAAAGGTATAAGGAAATCAGATTCTAATGTTATACATCTTAAATTTTCTTTGTCCAAGCAATTGTGTACAGCTAGTATAAGAAAGGAAATTGTCACAATATTTTCATCTTTGTGGTGCTAAGGATTAAACTCCAGGGCCTCAAATGTACTAGGCAAGAACTCCACTAAGCTATAACCCCTAACCCAACAATACCTTTAAAACTGAGAACCTTACCCTGCTTGATTATTTTGCCTTTCTTATTCCTCTGATTCTGTTTTGTACATATGTGTATTCTGTTAATTCTTGACACTGAATCCTCTGAAAAGCTGAAATTCCAGGCAAAGAATTCCACCACCCTCAATGGGCCCTCAGAGGTAGTCTCTTCTTTACATTTACAGATAGAGTTTGTGCACAACTGTCTCTGTCTACCTGCTGCCAGCCATGAGGGAAGGGCACTCAGCTGAAAGGATTCCTTTGACAATGACCCATTTTTAAGAAAGAATTACTATGGCAGATATCAAAGAGTCCTATTATTTGAAGGTGAACAGTAATCTATTCTATATGTGTATTTCTCTTGAATGATTATAAAAGTCACTAAGGGTAAACCCTAGCTATTTTTATGCTGTTCTTTCATTGATTATTTATTGAAAGATGAGGAGACATGCAACATTGTCTGGTATTAGTTACTTGCTAAAAAGCTGAAGGATTCCCTGTCTTGACAAAATGAAATATTATTTTAGATAATGCAAAACGATGCAGAATCTACTGCTTTTGTCTTTGGCCATTATTAAAAATGAAGTTTTATTTTGGGAATAGATAATTCAAGCATAACATTGAAAATCAACAACTATCTGTAATAATCAGATATAATATATTTTAGATGTTATTAGCCTGAATTGGAAAACTCAATGAGTAACAAAATGGTATATCAAACCCTAGATCTAACTAATAAATAGACTTTCCTTCCTTCAGATACAGATGGGTTTTTTGTAAAATAAGAAAACATTTTTTTGTTAATCAGCTTTTAGCAAACTTTTTCTGAATTAATCCTCTATCCTTTTGGTCTTTTATGCCTTCCTCTTGTTGAGAAGTCTGTGGAAGTGAATCCTGACCCATGGAAAGTGGTACAAGTGATTAGACTGTTTCTAGGCTTAGTCAATATAAACCTAAGAACTAAATCTTCTACCTCTCCCCTGCCAATGGCTGAATTATGAATGTGAATATCTTAGAAGAACATCTGTTTCGGATTTCCTGTGATGAAAACATAAACCCATATTTCACTGTTTATCAAATAAATAGAAGAAAAAGTTTCAACAAATTCTGAAGAATTAATATAAACTGGACTATGAAAATAAAATTAAAAATTAACAAATTAAAAATATTTCATATGTAGGGAAACTAAAAAGCTTACTTCTAAATAATTCATGAAATGCAAATAAAATTATAAGGCCAATCATTAAATGCTTAAAACTGAACAATGAAAATATTACCTATTATACCTTGTGATAATAGACCTGATATATTCATTTAACATTATAACTTTCCAATCATCATGCATCAAAAGATAAAATATTAAAAAGAGCAAACTAAACAGGTAAACAAAGAAGAAAATTAGATTTTATTATGAATAAAATATAAAGCAAAATCACCAAAAGCTAACTAAAAATTTCCATTGCAATACCTTAATATATATTCTGAAAAGTAGAAATAATATAAAGGGCTGGGCAACGTGACAGGCCTGTCCAGTAATCCCAGCTACTCAGGAAGCAGAGTTAAGAGTGCAGAGGTTCAAGGCCGCCCCAGAAATTAATGCAAGATGTTCTATGTAAAACAAAAAGCAAAAGGATTCACAGTATGTCTTAAGTGGTAGAGCACTGATGAGTGTGAGTCCCTGAGTTGAAATATCAATACCACAGAAAAGTAACAACAACAACAACAAAAAAAATGATAGCAGGGCTGGGAATGTGGCTGGGAATGTGGTAGAGTGCTTGCCTAGCATGCATGAAGCCCTGGGTTCTATTCCTCAGTACCACATAAACAGAAAAAGCTGAAAGTGGTGCTGTGGCTTAAGTGGTAGAGCGCTAAACTTGAGCAAAAGAAGCTCAGGGACAGTGCCCAGGCCCTGAGTTCAAATCCCAGGACTGGAAAAAACAATATCAGCAACACACACACACACACACACACACACACACACACACACACATATACGTGTATATATAGAGAGAGAGAGAATTTTTCTTATACCTTAGGAAACTCTTAATTATATTGCCACATTTTAAAGCAAGTGAAAATAATTATAATAAATGTATGTATTACAAAATATTGAAATGGGAAGGAAAAGAACCACAAAGACAATAATATTTTAAGAAACCTAAAAATATCATAATCGCAATCACTATCAAAAACAAGTGGTTGGTTAAGAAAAAGAAAACATGCTAGCTTGATTAGATTTGGCTTTTTATTTTACCTAAAGGGTCAAAGTATGATTTTTCCCCACTTGCCTTGGGTGGTTTGTTACATGCTCAAGGAAGAAACCTATAAAATAGTTCAGGCTTAGTTTTGAACACACTAAGTATGGATTCTTTGGGACTATGGCTTCTGTGTTCCTATTTAAAATTATGAGCATACTGAGAAGATTCAAGCTAAATTGAAACATGTTTCAAAGATACTAGAACAAACTGGAAGGAGGAAAGCTTTCAACCAATATTATAATATTCTGTTAGCAAGGGAAATTTGATTTCATTGTTATTACATACTAGTCTCACTTTCTCTGGTATAAATAGAATTGTGTAAAATGGAGGTGTTGACATTTCCAGATTAAGAAAAATGTCCATACATTATTGGTGCTTTTTTTCCTCCCATATTTTTGTCATGTTCAATGAAAACACACAAAATAATAACTGAACAATTTTCCAAACTTGATGATGAACAAGTCATTAATAGATAAACAGCTTGAAATAAAAACAAAGCTTTGCTTAAGCGCTTATACAAACAAGGAAGCTTTGAAACAACAAAAAAGTCACAAAACAATAAAACAATAAATTTAAATATAAGTAATAAAGTTCAGAATCAACTTGTTCATAATTGAGTGACTTTCTGGCACATGTCTTAGATTCTGAAAGTTGGCACCCTTTGATCAAATGTTCTATCTGTTCTCCAATCTGCAAGAAATTCTGGCTCTAAATGTATGTATTTGGTTTTAGTTTTGTCTCTTTCTCTTCCTGAGAGATCTTAACTCAGAATCTTAACAAGCTCATTTCTTTTCTGATCATCCATGAGTATGATACCCACTATATCATATGTTTGTTTCTTGGTATCAGGTATCATATGTCAAATGATACCCACTATATCATATGTTTGTTTCTGGGTATCAGGTGGGTCATCAGATTAGAGTGGTGACTTGTTCATTTGTATCTGTCATCCTTCCCCCAACATTCACATCCATCATATGCCCTTCATACTTATAGCATGGTATAACCATAATTCATAAGTATCTACTTAGATACTTATTTACCAAAACTTGTTGAGGGGCCCAGCATTTTGAGTGCTGCAATTTTAGAACTGGTCTTAAGTGCATAGTTTCTAAAAGACAATAGCATTCTAAATTTGTTCAATAATTCCAGAAACTATTAGATGACATTATTTTCAAAAGCAGTAATGTTCATCTAACTCCCTATGTGAGCACTTTACATGGAGTAGAATGATTTTTAAAATGTAAGTAAATAGGTATGGCATAGTCCCTTACAGTTTGGGAAAGCTCTAAGTTCATAAAATTTGACATTATAAATACAGGAGACAATCCATAATGAAAACATTGTTTGCCACAACTACGCTTTGCAGTGTAGCCTTAATTGCTCTACGCTTTGCAGTGTAGCCTTAATTGCTAACCTTGAAACACTTAAATATCTATGAAAAATATGTTGTGCATGCTATACATTTTGACCATGTGTACAGTTTATCCTTTGACAAATTTGCTTGCATATGGTTCCAGTCCAGAACCACAGCACCTGTTAGATTATCTTCCTCACTAAATTGCTGTAAAGAAATTTAGCCCCATTGAAGATGTGATGCTCTGTTCTCCATAGAATTCTATGTATAGAAGAAGATGGTAGGAATATTCACAAGTATTGTAGTCAGTGTAGTAAACTCCTCAATGAATATTAAACTAAGTGTAAAGTTTCCACAGTTGTCATTCATTCATTATTTAATCACTTTAACTGCATTCATAGGTACACTGGTAACAGTATTAGGTTTTACAATACCTCAAATACAGATACTGATTCAATTTTAAGATCAAGAAACAATATTTAGTAGCATTGACAATATCTGCTTGTGGCCAAGGTGAAATAGGGAATTTATTTACCCTTTCCTTTGAAACACAAAATGCCAGACAAAAAACATTAGAAATGTGTTTTTCAGTTATTGGATATCAGACAGCCCAGAATAGCAAACCTTGAGGATGGAGAATAAATACTAAGAAGATCTCAGCAATCCCCCTGAAATCAGAGGAGACACAGCTGGGAATCTGGGAGTTCAAGGAGGTAGAGTTTACAAAGCAGCTGCAAAGAGAAGAGGCCATTACAAAGAACAAGTTCTGGAAAGCTGCCGTTGCTCCCACTCCTCAAATTTCCAGCAGTGTTGATTAGTACAGCAATGAGAGACAGATGTCCAAGGCCAGAAACAGCCACAGTTTACATTAACCATGCATATAGTTCAGGTAGGGTAAGAAGTGGTTGTGTTCTCAGTCGGAGCAGGCAAATATAACAAAGCTTATAAACAAGCACCAACGTTTCAAAACTGTTAAGTATTATTAAAAATATTTAGTAATATTAAAATATGAAGTAATATTACTTAACAACAAGCAGAATGAAGCCTTAAAAATCATGAAGTATCTACATCTATATTTATATCAGATCCAGGAAGGTAAAATTCATAATGTCTATTCCCCAGTCAAAAATCTCAGAGCTTGCAAAGACAAAGCAGGAAAAAAAAATCCTCCAGTAGAAATTACATACAATGAGAAAATTAGAAATTGACATTAAAAGTTATCAGAACTATATTCCACCTATTCAAGAAGTTAGAGAGGAAACTGAAAATTTTAAATAGATTTG